TTTCTCCAAAGAAGGCTTGCACAATTTTATTCTGTAGTAATTTCCACAATATTGACTTGTACAAATCTCGTGTTGCGCAATGTTGTTGTTGTTGTAGCGGCTACTAAGTCCCGTTCGGGGCGGTTCATCCATCAACGTTGTCGTCAATTTCAGCTAGGGGGAGGCCCAGGAAGTGTGCTACTTCCAAAGGGGCTGTCCATAGGGACAGGGGCGTTAGCTGAGTGGGGTTCTCAGGGCATGTGAAGAGGTGCCGGGAGTCATGTGGCGACTCTCCACATGCCGGGCATTGGTTGGGCATGTCCTCGTTGATTCTGCTCAGGTAGCTGTTGAGCCTGCTGCAATAGCCAGAGCGAAGTTGGGCTATTGTAGTGCGGGTCTCCCGAGGCAGACAAAGTTCTGTCCCGTCCACGTCCGGTGGTTGTGTGCCTAGAACGACATTCACAGGGCGGGAGTCTACATAACTTGAGACTGATTCCCTGTGAATGCCGTTCAGGGCCTGTCGGTAGGTTGACGGGTCCAGAGGTGGTTTGATATACCTCTGGACTTCGTCTGTCAGTTCGTAAAGATGCCTCCTGACGTGCCGTGGCGAGCAGTTGTCCGCTGGGATGGCCACGTCTGTGGCTCCCAGCAAGGAACTGCTTGCAGAGCATTATGTTATGCTCCTTTACTGGGAGCATCTGGGTCTCGTCATGAAGGTGGTGTTGAGGCGTCATCAGTGGCATCCTGTCGCAGTTCGTAATGCCGTGTTTTGGCAGGTCTGTAGCTTCATCCACTGCGTCCTGCTAGTCCCCGGCGACCATACGGGCGCTGCGTAGTTTAGAACCGGCCGGCCAATTGCCTTGTATGTTGCCAACAACGTTTCTTCATCTTTGCCCCAAGTGCTGCCGGCCAGCGACTTGAGGACATTGTGGCGGCTCTGTACTTTGTTGACAATTGCGGTTGTATGCGCCGAGAAGGAGAGCAGACTGTCGAAGGTAACTCCGAGGATTTTCGGGTTATTCACCGTCGGTATTGTTACACCATCGACGTGAATACCCAGTGGCAGTCTGACCTCCTTCGTCCAGGTGGTGAAAAGGGTTGCCGAGGATTTCGCAGGGGATAGGGCAAGGCTCCTTGCAGTGAAGAAGCGAGAAAGTTCGGAGAGGTAACCGTTTACTTTCGAGCACAAGTCATCAATTCCATTCCCAGACGCCATGATCGAACAATCGTCAGCATACGAGACTATATTAACACCCTCTGGTGGCTGAGGAAGCTTTGAGATGTAATAATTAAACAGTAGTGGGGGCCGGACACCACCCTGTGGTACCCCCTGTTTAATTTTACGTGGCTTGCTAGTTTTGTCTCTGAAAATTACTGACGAGTGTCGACCACTCAGGTAATTCGCCGACCACCGTTTGAGTCCCTGTGGGAGTGAGGAGGCCTCTATATCTTCTAGTAGCGTTGAATGACTGACAGTGTCGAACGCCTTGGACAGTTCTCTCACAGGGGCGGTTTCGGTTTAGGCCACGAGTTATCTGAGTGTTTATGGCGTTGAGTGCTGTTGTTGTGCTATGCACTTTACGGAACCCATGTTGATGCTTCGCTGGGGTCAGGTGGTTCGTAAAGTACGGGAGCAGCAGGGCCTCGAGTGTATCCGCTACCGGGGAAAGGAGAGTTATCGGGCGATAAGACTCTCCTTTGTTGTCTGGTTTCCCCGGTTTGAGCAGTGGGACCACTCTCCCCATTTTCCAGATGGCTGGAATGACGAGAGTGACCATAGACAGGTTGAGGACCTCCGTTAGGTACGCTACTCCCGCAGGACCCAAATTTTTCAGCATCAGCATGCATACTCCGTCGGGTCCGATTGCTTTGGAGGCTTTCGCCTCCCGATGGCTACCCTTACCTCACCGCTGGTGAAAACAAGAGGCGCACTGGGTTTTGGCATGTTGTGCAGCCTTCTGGTCACTCGACGTTTGGGTTTATCCACCGGAGGGTGCAGAATGAACTGCCGGCGAAAATAGCTCGCGCATCTCTCCGGGTCCGACGAAGCGTGGTCACCAAAGTCTATCTCGACTCTGTCGTCGCGCTTCGTCGGGTTGGACAACGACCTCACGGTTGACCAAAGCTTGCTCACACCAGAGGCGAAGTTGCAGGTCTTCAGATGCTCTTCCCATTTCTTCCGCTTATGTACGTTCACAATTTGCCGAATCTCCAAATTGAGATCCCTAATACGGGGATTTTCGGAATCGGACGAAGGTTGTCGCGCTCATCACCTAGAACAGCCGCTTCGGCAGGAAAATTCGGACGTGGATCCTTAATACATCCTGCTCGGATGAAGCGAGCTGCAGCAGCGGTGACAACCCTGCGGAACTTACGTTCACCTACATGAACGTCGGTTGGTATGGGTAGTGCAGTGAAGGCGCCCTCAGTGACATCCGTGAAGCCTTTCCAGTCAGCTTTGGAAAAGTTGACATAAGTCCGGTGATCCACGGAAGCAAAGTCGGCAGGTTTATCAATCGAGATGACTATTGGCAGATGGTCTGATGCTAGAGTCAGCATAGGTCGCCATGATACGCTGTTTATCAGACCAGCGCTGACAATTGTTAGATCTGGCGAGCTGCAGCAACTGCCCATAATCCTGGTGGGTGCGTCGTCGTTCATTGTGCAGAATGTCGAATCGTCTGCTCAGCCAGATGTATTCCCCTACGATCATTTGACAGGCTTGAGTGCCAAAGATCGTGGTGCGCGTTAAAGTCACCAACTACCATACGGTTTTCACCTCTGAGTAGCGCACCTATTTCAGGGTGATATCCTGCCGGGCAGCTGGTGACAGGGGGTATGTATACGTTAAATATTTCGAGCTCAACATCGCCTGACCGGATAACAATACCTTGACATTCTAGGATGGTATCCCTGCGGTCGATGTCTGCTTCAATGAGACGATACTGCACGGTGTGGTGCGTGATGAACGCTAAACCTCCACCATTATCTCGCTCGCGATCTCGACGGTGCACGTTGTATCCGGCGCAATTCAACAGGGTTGAATTGCCGTGCAACTTCGTCTCTTGGACCGCAGCTATTAATATTCCATGCCTTCCCATAAAGACAGTTATCTCCTCGATCTTGCTCTGGAGTCCGTTACAGTTAAATTGTTGCACCTTTGTGTGCCTTGGGAGACCGATTGTGATGTTTGGTGTTAAAGAGTTGTGTTGCCTGCCGGCCCCCTGCTGTACGTGCTGCAAAAGGGGGTGCTGTCTTGTGGTGGTGGTTGGCGTCGTCGCGGGGGAGGGATGCGACGGGGCAGCACAGAAGGGGCCCACATTGTCACTCGTCCAATCTCGTGTGTTGCGAAGTCCTGAGCACGCCCTAAAGTGGCACCAGCCGAGGCAAGTGTTGCACTTGACTTATGTCACTTACGGTATATTCTGGACTGACAAACAGAGCAGATTGTCGGAGGGACTAGGAGTTGCCGGCGGCGGTGTGTGGGTGCTATTGTGTTTGTTTGTGTGTCTATTTTTGTGTTGTGTTGGGGTGTGGGTGTGTTGATTGTGTGCTGCCCAGGCGGGTGGTGGTTTGCCGTGGAGGCGGTCCGGTTCGCACAGCATGGGGCCACGAACGACGTGGTCCATTGCCGGTGCGTACGCAGGCCCGAGCAGTTACGGAGGTGACTCCACCCGTCACAGGCATTGCACCTGACCGAGGTGGAGTTTGTATGCAGTCGTCTCTGGCATACGCAGCAGGTGTAGATTTCTGGCCCTGGGTTTGACTCTATGCCAGCCCTGGGCAGAAGGGTGCGGAGAAGGTGTAGCCCTAGGATCGAGCAACGTTTGATGGATTTCGCCGACCTAAACGGGGTTAGATCGCCGAAACAACAGCCCTTGGTCGGGTAAAACCCGAGTCATTCCGGTACGTAGAACCGGCTGTCGTGGGAATGTCGGGTTGCGCAATGCTTTTGTGTGGTTTAGGGCCCTATAAGTTTGTTTTTCGTTATGCAAATACGCATACAGATTTTCTGTTTTTTTTAACGAAAGTAATATAAACTTTTTTTTTATAACTATGGATTTAATTATAAAATTTTATTTATTATTTGTTTTTTAAATAAAAGTTTAACAAACAACAGTTTTGTTTGCTTTTGATAATAAACTTTTTTTTTATAACTATGGATTTAATTATAAAATTATATTTATTATTTGTTTTTTTTTTAATAAAAGTTTAACAAACAACAGTTTTGTTTGCTTTTGATAATAAACTTTTTTTTATAACTATGGATTTAATTATAAAATTATATTTATTATTTGTTTTTTTAAATAAAAGTTTAACAAACAACAGTTTTGTTTGCTTTTGATACTTTTTTTTTCAAGCTCGCGGCAACGCTGATCACGATGTGTGTTTGTGGCGAGATGTTAACTTCATGTTATTCATAGTGGACGAGATGGTAACTCCTCTGCTCTATTCCGGGTCGCCATATTATTCATAGTGGACGTGATGTTAACTTCTCTGCTCTGGTCCGGGTTGTAATCACGGTTGCCGTTTCCAATTTCTTTTCCGGTCCAAAAAATGGACCAAATGGTAAAAAATTGACCAATTTCTATAACGTTGGGAAATTGAGTGGAGTTTGTTGCTCTTTATCAAGAAAATAAGCCAATTCAGTTTTTATTACGGTTTTACATATTGCGTACAAACTGCATTACAATCGTATATTAAATAGTTTTTAAAGAAACATTTACAATATTTACCTAACGAACGATTTAAGCTGTGAGCCCATGTGTTAGGGTTATCACAGAATCCATCGTAGTCCGAGTTTTGGTAAAATTTACGAAAACGCGATGACTGAATCCGAATTGCTAAGAACGTGATTCAGAGCGTACGATGC